TGAATGTTTCCAAGACACTCAAAAATAGAATTTTATTGCGAAGTGTCTGAGCACTTTTGTCGCTCACTGTTGTTCCATCAAGATGGCAGAATATTGGCCTGTCACAATTTAACCTTTACAATCTGCTGACCTGTACCAGTTGTTTCTCTTTTAATAATTGCTAATTCCATGTGTTTGATCTTGATTCGCACAAGAAGAAAGTAAATCTTGCCCACAATCACATCTTTCAAGTGATACCTAGGGAACAGAAATGTATTTGTAAAAAGAAAGAACCATTACACAAACCTACAAGTAGTACGCTAACTACATTATAAAAATCTTTTGATAAACAACACTTCTCTCCATGGACCACAAGAAGAAGGAGGAGAAGTATTGTAATGATGGCTTCATGTTCCAGCTGGGACTATGAGCACGAGGGAGTGAAAGATTGTCAAGCAGATAAAGTGAAGTGAATAAATAAAAACATAAACAAGGAAATAATTTATAAGTGGTAGAAAATGCATTCAAAAATAAAATCACATACAATACAGTGTACTTTGAATTTCATATTATATTTTTTGCACAATCTTTTTATATTTTGTATTATATGACATCAACAAGGAAACATGGTTCCTCTTCACACCACTTGTTACTGACGCATAAATAAACAGCGCATACTTTGATTTGTTGTATTCAAACTCTATGTGCAAACAGTCTTCAATACCAACTTCCATTTTGATGCTGAAAGATACGGACAAAAGATAATTATTAATCAGTATTTCAATATGGAAGTTTTGGGAAAACATTTTAAAATAAAAACTAAACAAATTAATAGCAAAGATTTCACTGTTCTCATGACAACTTTGCAAAGTTCAAAATCTCAGCATCAGATCTATGCCATGAGGTATAAAAATTTTAGTATGACTGTAGATCTAGCAAGATAAAAAAAAATGTGAAATTAAACCAGATCTTAACACTCAGTCTGACTTTATGCATACATGTACTAAGCTTCTCTTGTAGACCAATGCTATCCCAATTTTTATACTTTACCACTGATCATATTCATAAATACTTCACCGCATTTCTTAAATTTAACTCCATCACACAAAAGATAAAAGATAGAGTTACCTAAATTTAAAATCAAAATGTTTATGGCAAGTTCAGAGTATTTAAATCAGTGAATGATCTCTGTAAGCTAGACATCAAACTTTCCCTCTCTCCAACTCTAAGAAGTTCACAACAACTACCAGTTAAGAAAAACTTGTAACTCAAGTAACAGATTGCCACAGATATAGAATTATATAACAAAAGTTGCCAATAACTAGATCAGATGTTACGTTTTATTTTACATTTTTATTTTACATTCCCATCATACACTGTAGCACTGCCTGGTCTTAAAACTGAATGAAAACTGTTGACAATGATCCAAAGCATTTGAAAAAACATATGTGTAATAGACAAGAAAAAACATGCAAAAAAACTCTGCAGGGTTAAAAACAAGTATTCGAAAACAACCCTAAGAAAATATGCACACTGATTGGTTAAAAATCATGTTTCTATAACTCAATAGAAACACAGAACTAGCACAAGCTGTTGAAGTAATGATGGCGCGAGCAAAGAGAATTTACATTTTGATGATCAAAGTAAACAAGTTGTTTCCCTTTTCTCATCGTGGCGTTTTCTACAAGAAATAGAAAACATGTTCTCCGTGTTTCTATAAAGTTGTAGAAACACTCATGAAAGTTTGGAAGAACTTGAAGAAGCTGTGAAAACACTTGCCTGCGGCTCATGTTCCCAAAGCATCTCTCATTCTCCCAAACTTCCACTCGTGTTTCAATCTATAACTCGATAGAAACACAGCACATGTTTTCTATTTCTTAATTGAAGGTCAAATGAAGACTAGTTAGATAAAACAAAAAACTTGGTAAACAAAATCTTGTGTAAGATCTTATCGATAGAATACTTTACACTGCTAAGATCCATGATGATCCTACAAGTTGTTAGTAACATTGTATTCCCACATTGCTATTAGGATCCAAGGAATCAGAATTTGAAAGGGATTTTGCATGTGACAAATTTGGTGTCTACACAAGAATACCACACAGCTTACAAAATTTCTAAACACAATAATGTGACACACTAAACTGGTCAAACAGTGAGGCCATGTTAGGGGTTTCTCAGATATGGGATGTTTAGGTAAAAAATTAACAGGGATATACGTGGGATAAGGGATATTTGGAACAGATTTTCCAGGATATCAAGTAAGAAAACTGTTAAGACGGATTCCGCTCAAAGTTCAAGCAATAAGTGCAAAAATTATTTACCAGAGAATCTACTCACAGCACGGTAACTTTTTAAATACTATTTAAAACATCTCAATTAAATTAATTTCTCTGTGTAACCCCACGATTAAATTCTCAGGCATTCTCAAAAAAGTTAATGTCAAACCTCGCAAGAATGCTTAATGCGTGTGTTATTGTGTTTTCAACTAACGTCAAATATCCATTTTACTTGAAATATGGATAACTTCAAGTTCAATTTTCTCTCACAGGGTCAGCTTGAGAGGGTAAGTCTTGATAAGTTCTTCTTACCTTTATTCAAAACATTACCATGCTATGAGGTTTTTTTGGTAACTTTATTTTTGTCATTATTGCTTGAATGTTCTACAGAAATCATCTTAATTTTTGAAATTGAAATTTACGGGATATGAGTATTTAGGCCAAAAATTAATGGAATATGGAATAATCACCCCCTCCCCCCTTTCTAATCAGGTCTCAACAGTGATAAAAAAAAAAAGAGATCACTAAGCAGTTAGAGATCAGGGGACTTATAATTCTGAGATCTGAAGCAATATCTTCCTTTAAAGCTAAATGGGTTTGCATACAGTATAACTTAAAAGTGTAATAAGCAATACCTATTGTTCATCTCAGGAAAGCTCGATAGAGTGTGGACAGCCAGATCAAGCTCTTTACTTATGTCACTGATTCGTCTGATGACGGACACTCGCAGAAAATATCTGAAAAATAATAAGGTACACTAAGGAAAGTCTGCATACGAGCCAAGTGGTCCATCAGGCCAGAGTTTATCAAGGTTTCTGTAGCATGAAGCTACTAAGGGTATTTCTACCCCTCCCCTGGATGGAATGCTAGTCCATCGCAGGATTTCCCCCAGCATTAAGTTTGCTGGTACCCATTTATACACCTGGGTGGAGAGAGGCACTGTGAGAGTAAAGTATCTTGCCTAAGAACACAACGCAATGTCCCTGGCCAGGGTTTGAACCTGGACTGCTCGATCCAGAGACAAGCACATTACCCATGAGGCCACCATGCCTTCCACGCAAAAAAATAATGTTAAACAAACTAAGTACAAAGGGTTATGTCTACTCCATACTAATCATCAGTGCTGCTATGCATTACTCAGGTCCCTGTCACCACTCACCCCAGCTTCTTTATGTATCAATAATACCACAAAACGCAATCGCAAGTTGAGCTTGTAACTTCAGAGTATTCACAGTTTTGAAAGGTTCTACTAATAACAAAAATCCAAATTGTTTCACAGTGCCAGAATGCTCATGATGACTACACTGTAGACGGCAGTGTTCACTGGTCACTGAAACTCACAGAGAATCTTTGCACTTTGTAAACACAATAATCTTTGTGTTCAAACATCTACTCACAATCTCTGCACACAAACCTCTAAAGAAATAAATATAATAAAAATAAGAACCTACCTAAGTCGGACATTTGCTCCAGTGTAAGTCTCATAAGGCTTCTCTACATTTACAAACTCAAAATCATATGTTGCACTCTGCGTTAGTTCTCCAGGCCTTGCCAGGTCTCTTACCAATGAAGTGAACTCATGATGATTACCACGGTCATAAAAAAGCTCTGGAAAAATTAAATATTTCAAGTACTGTTATGAACCAGCTGAGCTCAAGGACTGTTTAAAAGAAAAATAACTATTGGAAACCACAGTACAATAGATGAGGTACAATGTAGCACTTAAAAGTGTGGAATACTCTAGAGGTGAATGGTTGCAGCCCTTTTAATAGCTGTAAATTTTAAGTAACAGTTCCCGATTCATACATCAGTTTTGTCTGTAACGCCTCACTGACACAGGAGTGGTACTACTTCATTTAGTGGTTAAAGGGACACTGTCACCATTTTTAGCACAATTTTGGAAATCTCAAAAACATATATCAATCATTGGAAGTTGAACAATAATGGTTTTATTTTGTAGAGCAGTACTCGACAAATGATTAAAACCCATTTGGAAGTGAGAATGGCTAACGATGGGGAGGATGGAAATGGATTGCGATATGGATTTTTGAAAAAGTGTTAAGATGTCAGTTTTTCAAAGGTCCAAGTTTGGCTCAAAATCGTTGAAATTTTGCAAAAATGTTGCTGCAGTGTAGACTTTCTTCAAGAAATTGCTTTTAATCATCAAATGATTAAAAGCAATTTCTTGAAGTGGTCCCTAAATTTATGTAATAAGAACTTAATTAGCTTCAACTAAACGTTAGCCAGAGTTAATTAAGTTATTACATAAATTTAGGGACCATTTCGTGAATTTACAACAGTTTTAAGCAAATATATCATGACAGTGTCCCTTTAAATGACAACTGAAACTCGCTGGAGCAAAGTTAAAATTACAAGTTGGTTTGAGAAACCTGCAAGTGCCACAAAACTAAAACTTTAAAAATATTACCAATCTCCTCTGAATGTAAAAAGTCAAACAGAGCACATATAATTATAGCCTAAGAGGACATTCAATACTGTGTAATAATACTATACATCAAAATTCTAACATGGTGCTGCAGCTTCTGCCAAACATCTATGTTTGTTATTGTTATCTTTGTATCAAGTCTTCTATGGAAATTACCACGAAAAGAAATTTAATATATCAAGCACAGACCATGAACCAAACCACGTTTTTCCGATGGAAACTAAAATTGTCACCACCATATTGTCTGTCAATAGTTGAACGACAGGTAACTCCTCACCTATTTGTCCCACAAATTCTATTTTTATCCCATGATGTTCCAGTTTTTTTCCAGGAACTTTCAGGTTTACATGGACCTATTCAAAGAAGCAGTAATTCATAAACACTTCAAAAAGTACATTAGTATTACCACCAAAAATTCCCAAGTTAGATCTCCCTTACATCAGAACCTATTCAGTCTAACATGGAAAAATTCAGGTTCTCATACACAGGTTTTTACCATATTCACAGAATACATGAAAGTCAAATTCATTTGGTAAAGAGCCATTTGGCGTACCATCAGTTCACAAATGTCTTGTTAGGTCACCAATTGATGTCTTAGGTTAGTTCCACTGCACTGCATGCAAGGCTCTTCAAATGCTAGCCAGCCAGCAGGCTCACCTTTGAGTCACATGTGCGAGCAGTGAAGAGCAAAGCGATCTGGCAGGAAGGAGTCTGGTGAAGAGGCACCAAGAAAGTGAAAAATTTGCAGAGATCAGAGCAGGCTCACTTTCTATTCTCGCGGCTTCCCCGCTCGATTTTGTGCTAGCAGCTACGCCGCATGCACCTGTGCTCCAACGTCAGCCTGCTCGCAGGCTATTCAAATGCAGGCTTGACCTCAAGCCATTTTGGGAAACTGGTTTACTAAGCTAATATTTTAGTAAACAGGCATGTGTATAGTAGTTATGCAAGGCTTTCAAGTGGTGAATCATGGAGTATCACACCAGTCACACACTCGCCTTAAGGTTCAAGTGTATACAAAGAAAATACAAGTGACAAGTGGGATATTCCATGATATACCACGGGAGAGCGTTGGATAACTATTTTATACCACACCATAGAAAATACAGTGGTTAACACAATCAGTGACATGTGCCTTCGCATGGTGCATGATGAAAAGGTTAGATGTAATACCGTTGAATATACAACCGCTTTCCTGTATTACCACACATACAATACTATACAATACTTTATTCAAGAGATACAAATAATATGTAAAAAAAAAAACCTCTTGAAATGGAAATCATGAGGTTAGTCCTATACATGTATTTGTTATGGCATTGTATAAATGAGTTGCTAGCAAGTAGGGCAAACACAATTTGTAAATTTCCTTGAAACTCTTTCAGAACAGACTTGAAAATTCTGTTCGCAGTACAGTTGGTGTATTACCTGAGCAAAGGCACTGTCCCCCCCCCCCCCCC